GATCACCTGTGGAGAGATGATTTTATGTTGTTATTGTTGATGGTTGTTGTGTTGTTGGTGTTGTTGTTTAATTTTGTTTGGGGTTTATTATTGTTGTTGTATATTTGTTTTAATTTGTCGCTGATGTTGTATATCGTTGTTGTTGTTTATATTGTTGTTGTTGTCGTAATTGTTGTTGTTGTTGTTGTTGTTGTTGTTGTTGTAAAGTTGTTGTTGTTGTAAATTTATTGCTGTTGATGTATATTTTTAAAATACATATTTACTACTGTTCTTGAATATTTGTTGTTTCATATTGGTTGTTGTTTATTTGTTGTACATTTGTTGTTGTATATTTGTTGTCATACATTTGTTGTTGTTTATTTGTTGTAGTTGCATATTTGTTGCTGTTGTTTATTTGTTGTTGTGTTTGTTGTTGTTTATTTGTTGCTTGTTTCTGTTCAGTTTTTGTTTAATATTGCTTGCTGCTGTTTATTTGTTGGTGTCATTGTTGTTGTTGTCGGTGTTGTTGTTGTCGGTGTTGTTGTTGTCACTAACGTTAGCGTCCGGCAAGGGACTCGTCGCATTTTATGGTCATTGCTGATGCTGTTGTTGTTGTTGTTGTTGTTGTTTCGCTGTTATTGAAGTTAAACGTCCCATCAAGGAAACAGGTGCTGCCACGACCACCACGACCACCAAAACCAAAACCAAGACCTAGAACAACAGCAACAGCAACATCCACAACGACGATACGTTATTAACAACACCACCAACAGCAATAACAGCAGCAACTACTACAACTTCAACAATAGGAACAGCAGTAAAAGTAGCAACACACATCGATAGACTTCCATTTTAGACATCATCATCAACAACAACAAGGTAGGCGGTATTGCTGTTGTTGTTGTTGTTGTTGTTGTTGTTGTTGTTGTTGTTGTTGTTGTTCCTCTTTTCACCAACCAACTCCTTTTGGAATTTATTTCTTGTTCCCTCCCTCCCTCTTTCTCTCTCTCTCTCTCTCTCTCTCTCTCTCTCTCTCTCT